CGCCCGGGGGGGGAGGGGTTTCGGGGCGGGGGGGGTTTGGGGGGGTTTTTTTTAAACCCCCGGGGAGAGAGGGGGGTTGGGGAACCCAGCCCGGGGTTTTCCATCAAGTTGCTGGGGGCCCGGGGGGGGGGGGGGGGGGGGGGGAGGAACCCCGGGGATTAGTTGGCAGGGTGTTCGTTGTGACGATTCTTGTACAGAGTGGGGGTCCCTATCTAGTAGTTGCCCGTTGAATCGTGCCAATGCCCGGCACATGTAGTGCTGGTGTTTTCGGCGGGCACACACTGAATCATCAAGTCATTTGGTACTGTATTTTGAATAGTTCCGGTGTCCGATATAAGTGCCTGTGAATTTTCTGGGCACATACCAGCACTATGCAGGGACCCCCACTGTGTGCGTACCCCGAACGGGGGGGGGGAGGGGGCGTGCTGGATGGTCAAGTCTGGAGAGGGAAAACGGTTGCGGTGGTTTGTTGTGGCGTTGCAGCATACCTACCCTGGGGGGAGTGGGAGGAGGTGGGGGGAGTGGCCAGTCCGGTTCTGAGAGGAGACGAGGTTTCAGGGTGGTTGTTGCTGTGGCCTTCTGCGTACCACGTGGGAAGTTAGGGGAGGGGGGTGGGGGGCATAGACATAATTTAAAACAACTAATATTTAAAGTTTGTGCCATAAGCGTTAAGTTTGCAACCATGTTTTCTCACGGTGCCTCTCTTTTGTTGTCATTTTATTTACTTCGTGCAATTTTTTTTGTTTTAGGTGTCGTTTCGGTCGTCCCTCCTTTTTTATTTTTGTTTTGTTCTTGACCCGATGTTTTTTTTACAGAGCCTGGCGGAGGCATTGGGCACGACGGCGAGCGAGGTGTCGATCGAAGATGTGGTGTACTCTAGCACCACTGCTTCTGCGATCGACACTGAGGAGGCCGCAACCACTTTCTTCGAAGAGAATAGTGGTCCGGCCAGCGCCGCGGCGGTACGTGGTTGTTGCTGCTCTGCTGCTGCTGTTGGTGCTGTGTTTGTTTGCTGTCGTGGTTTGTTGCTGCTGTTGGTGCTGCTGCTACTGCTGTTGTTGTCGTTCGTTGGTGTTGCTAGAGCTTTTTCTTCTGCTGAAGCTTCTGCTGCCGTTGCTGTTAATGACGACGCTGGTGCTGGAGCTGCTCCTGAGGCTCCTGCGGCTGCTGCTGTTATTTTTTGTAGCTGTTGTTGTTGATGTTAGTGATGATGGCGCCACTCCTGCTGCTGCTGCCGCCGCTGTTGCTGTTGGTGACGTTGTTGATAATTATCGGCAATATCTCCCGCCGAAAGCGCATTGCGTGCAAGTGACAACACACGCGCTTCAGACGGACTCCCAAACTGCCCGTTCTTGTCGTTATTCTTGCACCACTTCTCCCACCACTATTTTCACCCTCCTTTCCCCAAAGCGTACGGTACGCCGCCC